CAAGGAAAAAAGGCCAAGTCACATATAAAGGCAAACCTATCAGAATTACACCTGACTCCTCATCAGAAACTCTAAAAGCCAGAAAGGGCCTGGACAGATATCTTACAGACACTAAGAAACCACAGATGTCAGTCCAGAGTACTATACTCAGCAAAATTTTAATCATCATAGAGGGAGAAAACAAAATATTTCACAACAAAAACAAATTTAAACAGCATCTATCAACAAATCTAGCCCTACAGAATATACTAGAAGGAAAACGCCAACCCAAGGAGGCCAAATACACCCAGAAAAACATAGGAAATTGACCCGTCCCGTGGGCTAGTCGAACAGGGTCCACCTGAAAGAGGGAGTGAAAATTGGGGGACAGAGAACACGAAGAATGGAGGCAAGACAGATTCCTGATCAAGTCTCAGTTTACTGAACGTGCAAACAACACTTATAAAGCAAAGGGTACAAGCAATTTTTTTCACAGTAGCAACACATCTGTGCCACCTGGCAAGGTATGCAGGAATTCACTCAAGGTTACACTCAAGGTTTGCTGTCTGGTTCCCAAGGTTGCAGGGAGCTTGCTATCTACTTCTCAGGCTCAGAGCACCCCGCCTGCAGAGACCACCACGGACATTCTCTGAGAAATGGAACTATGGATAAGACCCCCATCTGACAAGGCCAGGAGGCAGAATTCCAATTACCAGACTCCTTCAGGAAATAAATAACCCCACATCAGCAAAACCAAAAGAACGGAAACACACACACACACACACACACACACACACACACACACACACACACACTACCATCATCAACATCAAAATAACAGAAAGTAACAACCACTGGTAATTAGTATCTATCAACATCAGCAGCCTCAACTTTCCAATAAAAAGACAGACTAACAGACTAAAATGGATCCATAAACAGAACATTTAGCTGCATACAAGAAGCAAACCTCAGCCACAAAGATAAAACACTACCTGAGAGTAAAGGGCTGGAAAAAAAGTTTTTCCAAGCAAATGGACCCAATATGCAAGCTGGAATAGCCATCCTAGTATTTAATAAAATAGATTTTAATCAAAAAAGAGGGGGAAGGATGCCTCATAATCATCAAAGGAAAAATCCACCAAGAAAATATCTTCATTCTGAATCTATGCCTCAACTGCAAGTGGTCCTTCTTTTGTAAAAGAAACATTACTAATGCTTAAATCGCAAGTTGAAACCCACACATTAATAGTGGGAGACTTCAACACCCCACTCAGTCCAACAGACAGATAATCGAGACAGAAACTAAGCACGGAAGTAAAGAAACAGGCATAATTAATCAAGTGGACCTAAGAGTTATCTACAGAACATTTGACCCAAACACAAAAGAATATACCTTCTTCTCAGCAACTCATGGAACCTTCTCCAAAACTTACCATATACTTGGTCACAGTAAGCTTTAGCGGATATAAGAAAATTGAAATAACCCCTTGTATCTTATCAGACCACAATAGATTAAAGCTGGAACTCAACAACAACAGAAACAACAGAAAGCCTACAAATTCATGGAAATTGCACAACTCTCTACTCAAGGACCACTGGGTCAGGGAGGAAATAAAGAAAGAAATACTTTCTAATATTAAGTGAAAATGAAAGCACAACATATCCAAACTTATGGGACACAATGAAAGCAGTGCTAAGAGGAAAGTTCATAGCACTAAGTGCCTTCATAAAGAAATTGATTCCATACTAATAACTTAGCAGCACACCTAAAGCTCTAGAACAGAAAGAAGCAAATGTACCCAAGAGAAGTACACAACAAGAAATAATGACACTCAGGGCTGAAATCAACAAGTTGTAAAGAAAGAGGACAAAACAAAGAATCAAAGAAACCAAAAGCTGGTTCTTTGAGAAAATCAACAAGATAGACAAACCCTTAGCAAATCTAACTAAAACCAGAGGGAGAGTATTCAAATTAATGAAAAAGGAGACTTAACAACAGACAATGAGAAAACAAAAAAAAAAAAAATCAAAAGTCTGTATTCCATAAAATTGGAAAATCTATTTTTTCTTTTTAAAATTAATTTATTTTAGTTTTTATTATTAGTTGCATTTTATTAACTCAGTATCCCAGCTGTATCCCGCTCCCTCATTCCCTCCCAACCCCACCCTCCCTCCCTCATCTCCTCCCTGCCCCTTTCCAAGTCCACTGATTGGGGAGGACCTCCTCCCCTTTCATCTGACCCTGTTTTATCAGGTATTTGAGGACTGGCTGCAAAGTCCTCCTCTGTGGCCTAGCAGGACTGCTCCTCCCTTGGGGGGGGGGGGGTCAAAGAGCCTGCCATTGAGTTCCTGTCAGAAATAGTCCCTGTTCCCCTTACTATGGGAAACCAATTGGTTACTGAGCTACCACAGGCTTCATCCATGCAGAGGTTCTAGGTTATATCCATACATGGTCCTTGGTGGAGTATCAGTCTCAGAAAAGACCCCTGTGCCCAGATATATTTGGTCCTTGTGGAGCTCCTATCCTTTCCACATCATACTAACTCCCCCTTCTTTCATATGATTCCCTGCACTCTACCAAAGGTTTGGTTGTGAGTTTTATTATCTGCTATGATACACTGCTAGGTAGAGTCTCTCAGAGGCCCTCTGCAGTAGGCTCCTGTCCTGTTACTTGTTTTCTCCTATGTCCAAAGCACCTCCCATTAGTCTTTCTAAGTGAGGATTGATCATCTTACTCTGGGTCCTCTTTCTTGTTTATCTTCTTTAGGTGTATAGATTTCATTATGTTTATCATATCTTATAGGTCTATATAAGTGAGTATATACCATGTGTGTCTTTCTCCTTCTGGGATACCTCACTCAGAATGATCTTTTCTAGATCCCACCATTTGCCTGCAAGTTTCATGATTTCCTCATTTTTGATTGCTGAGTAGTATAAAGGAAATGGACAAATTTATTGGTAGATTTCATTCTGAACGATGCTCTCCTAAGCTTGCTGACAAGAACCTGACAGAATTGTCCTCTAAGACACTACCCAGCAGAGCCTCAAAAGACATGCTGAGACTCACAGCCAAACATTGAGTGATGCTTAGAGAGTCTTGTGGAAAACTGGGAGAAAAGAGAAAAGGACCTGCAAGTGACAGAAGCTCCACAAGAAGACCAACAGAGCCAACTAACCAGGGTCCAGCAGGGCTTACTGAGGCTGAAGCATCAACAAAGGACCATGCATGGACTGGATCCAGACCACCCTACAAAGCATAGCCGATAGGCAGCTTAGGCCTCATGTGGGCCCTCAAGTAAGAAACATGGACTGCATTTGAAATGGACATTGGTGCCAGCTTTTTTAGCTGTTTCACCTGGCAGAACTGTCTTGCCAGGCCACAGGGGAAGAGGACATGCTCAGTCTTGATGTGACTTGATGAGCTGGTGTGGACAGGAAGTGGGGGTTCCCCTTTTCTGAGGAATAAGGGAGGGAAAAGGGAGAGGAAAGGAGGGTGGAGTTGGGAGGTGAGGTGGGATGGAGCTTCAACCAGGATGTAAAGTGAATATAAAATAAATATTTTTTTCAAAATATTGTAAAAAAAGAATTTATCATATTCCAAAGTCTTTCAAATTCTACGTGCAGCTAAAACTATATGAAGTGGGTCTGCTTTACATAACTACATGATGAAATACACACACATGCTATTTTTATGAAATAACACTAAACAAATCTCTGAATAATTTCATGCATATAACATTTGTACCATGATAATTTTATTTGAAACTTGAAGTATTTCATTATTTTCAACATCATGAAATATTGCTCTGCTAAAGAAACTTTTACAATAAATAATAAGTGAAAAAAGGTTTGTCATTGTTACTGATTCAGTAAATTTTTCTGGACTTTAATTCAGTTCATTGTAAAGAGATAAATACGGAAAAATTAGAAGTGTACCAGGGAATACATTCAGCCAATAGTGTCTGTGAACAACATGTTATCTATCTGCTTTTTATATTCAACTTCATTTTTTAGAGACAATTTAATTGAAAAGTCTTTAAAGAGCTAGGTGTGGTGGCGCACACCTGTAGTCCAAGGATCCACAGAGGCAGAGGCAGGTGGATTGCTTTGAGTTTGAAGCCAGCCTGGTCTACAATGTGAGTCCAGGTTGTCCAAGGATACACAGAGGAAACCCTGTGTCAAAAAAAAAAGTCTTTAAAATAAATGTGATATCTGACTAGGAAGTATTCTTTCAGACAATAAAGCAAGATTGAAAACTAGGGAAAAATAAGTGAACTCAAATATATGTCTGAAAACAATTAGCAATTGTCTTTAATTAAAGAGCTAGTATGAATATGCAGATAACATAAGAAGAATATGCAGGAATAGTAATGTCAAATGGCACTAACTTATTAATTGTGAAAGTGGGAACGGGGAGAAAGATATAATGGAATGAAACATTAAAACACTTTTGAGACAACGGAGTATTCAGCCATGGTGTCATGTAGGCAGTCAAGTGAACTAGCTACAGAGGCATAATATTTCTTGTTATAGCAACAGGAACGACCTGACAGTACACAAAAACTATCTGTTCAGTATTCTTAGCCATGGGCCAAAGGGACATAAGAGGAAATAGGCACTAGAAGCTGCACATATATTGAGAATTGCCCCATGGCAGGGCTTAAATCCGTATAATCCGGAACTGTCATTTCAGTGGGTGAAGACAATAGGTCTAGTTAGGTAGACTTTTAAATTTTGATGATAAAATTCCATATGTTTCTAGTGACAAACAGTAAGTTGGAAATGAGATGCTGATTTGGGGAACTGGAAATTGGGTTTTAGGTGTAGCCAGAGCTCCTGTTTGGTGTGTTTTCTCCACTGCCTAGTGCCATCTGCCTGCAAAAGTCGTCAGAGCAGCGCTGCCTGGTGCTTTCCTAGGTAAGACCCCAGATTTAGGTATTGGCCTGGGGCTTCAAGTTAAGCATCCAAAAGATCAGATGCTGCATGCAAGCTTTTCCTTTCCCTTTGAAAACTGTTTTCAGGAAAAGGAGGAGAGATGACAATGAGGAAGACAACCACCACCCCCATTGTTCGAAGAGGAGTAAGAAGGGCCAGGCCTTCCAGGACCCTCACGCTATAGAGGTAGGAACTATGGCCACATAGCCTCTCCTTCTGACTCATTGCCCATACGGAGGCATTCATTTCCATGCCCACAATGGCAAGAAAGCTGTCCCAGATGCACTCATAGAAGTCTCCTTGCTGGCTGGCTGCAGTGGCTTTGGAGCCAGAGCAGGATTTTAAGGATTGCTTCAGCATGGTTTTACTGTGCAACATAAGCACAGAGTAGGGTCAACAAGGAGACTTTCCTAGGAGCAGGTGGGAGGAACTGGGTTCCAGAAATGTCTCCACATGCAAACAGGGAGGAAGAACGGTACCCCACCTTCTACGGTTAGGACAGAAATAAACATGAACAACAGAGCAGCAGGGCACGAACTAGCTGGAGCTTTCTTCTTGATCCTTGCTGGAAAAACTGAAAGCAAACTGGGGTTGTGTAAAAGCACTTTGGAAAGCATTAGTGATGTCTGCACTGAAGAGCTGGCATCTCAGCTTCAGCAGTCTTCACTCTAATAACTAGATGGGGTAGCACAGCGTGGTTTGCATGGTAGCATTAATGAGGAGGGAGCATTGCAAAGGTTTTCTGGACATACCTCATCAGGCAATGAGCAAGTGCTTTTACCTTTCTTGATCAAGAGATAAGAGGCTTATCAACATGTGCCATTCCTTCCTCTGGGACAGGAACACAGGTAGGTTTTGGAGAAAATGTACCTAGACTCTAGGTCCTAGATGTACTTCAATCAAACACTCGGTGCTCTTGACCCACAGAATTTGCTGTTGCATATAGTCCCCCGTGTATGAATGCTGGCCTTTCTTTTCAAGGTTAGCACCCTTAGACCTGTGCATGCAAGTCTGCTCTCTTCACCAGAGAGTGGTAGTCCAAAGGCAAAGACCAAAAGCCTGTACTTGTCTGTATGCCTGCTAAAGAACAATGGCTTCACAGGGTTTTCCTGATGAGTGAGTAAAACAAAACATGGAGAGTGTAAGGAAAGTGTGTAGATTTCTAGCACAAACCCAGACCTCTGCTCTGCTATTGATCACAAGGAACTAGTTGACATTTTTATGCACAAGTTCCAAGGAAGAAAGAACAATAAGACTAATGAGAAAATCACGTTAAGGGCCTGGCCTATATTTCAGCTAGAATTCTGTGTAGCCTTGATTCTCCCCAGCTGTTGGGACTATAGCTCTTTGTCAAACCACTGTGTTCAGCAGAGTAAGTTCAGGTGTCTGATGGAATGTTTGGTAAGCTGTTCTCTCTCTCCCTCCCTCTCTCTCTTTCTGGTACTGGCAGTTTGTGGTCTGTGCAGGTTAGCTTAACTGTAGACTGACAGGACATGGAAGAACCTGAGGGGAGAGTCTCTTTTTAATACTATTTTGTAGCTGGGCTTGGTGGCACACTCCTGTAATACCAGCATTCTGGGAAGCAGAGGCAGGGGATTACTGTGAGTTCACGGCCAGCCTGGTCTACAAATCGAGTCCAAACAGTCAAGGCTACACAGGGAAACCCTGTCTCAAAAAACAAAACAAAACAAACCAAAAACAAACACACACACACATACACACAAACCTACTTTGTATTATTTGAAGTGTGTGGATGCCATATGTCTTGATCATATTCACCTGTAACCTCTCCCTGAAACTCTATCCTGGATACATACCCTCCCAACACATACCCTTTCAATCTTTATACCCTCCTTTCTATTATATATGTATGGTCCTATTTAATCCCTTCTGTTCAGTTAGTGCAAATCAAGAGCCGTGGGGGTCATCCCCTGGGTCACAGGTAACTGACCAAAGGCCATCTACCAGAGAGAAGTGACTCTTCCTCTCCAGCAAAAGTCGGCTGCCAAAAGTTCCCTAGTTAAAGGTAAGGTCACAACTCCCGCCCTCCCCCAAGACTCTGCCCTGGCTTTATCTTGTCCAGGTCTTGTGCAGGGAGCCAGAGCTACTGTGAGTTCACATGTGCATCAGCCATGCCATCACCAGGGGACAGGATTTCACAGTGCTCCTGCCTGTAATCTGGCTCTTACATTCTGACCTCAGACCCAATCAGGAGAACATCTGATTATCCCTGGGAACAGCATTGCCACTATGGCACCAGTTGGCTCCTCGTGCCTAGCAGGCCACTATTATACCATCTATGGTATAGATGGTATAGGGTCCATCTATGGGTAGGAACACTCGTGCCTTGGTCTCTCATGACAGCCAGCATAACACCTTCTGTGTCCTATGAACATTAACCAACTGGAAGAGTTTCCTGCTGCATTCAAGACTGATTTCCCTAGGCCCAGCAACAAAAGTGTGTAGTGTCTCATCTACAGGGTTTGGAGCAGTGGCAATAGCCTGTATTGTTCTGGTCACCTCTGGGGCTGCCCTGGCCATAGGGAGGTAACATGTCCATTGCTGAGATTTTTGTTTAATGACCTATGGCATCTGGGGAAAATTCTGTTCACCCACATGCAGTGTCCCTGTTTAGCCTCCCTTTTAGAAAATTCCACTTTCTTTACCCTACTCCCTTTCCCCATTTCCGCTTAAACTTTTAATCCCCCGGTATCCCCCTCACTTTCTTACTCATCACATGTGTTCCACTGCCTCCTCTTATTATATATTTTACTTGGGGTGTAAGATCATAGGTTCTCTGGGAGCTTCTTTCTGCCCAACTCATCTTGGTTAACCCTTGCCCCGAGCCCTCCGTTCCCCGTTCCATCACTCTACAGACTGCTTGAAGCTTCATGACACTAGGATTTCTGCTCTCTACTTTGATTTTACTAGTGTTCTACTATTTCCCATCCATTTATGCCAACTTCCCCCAACCTGATAGCCTCTTTCTTGTTTCTTAGTTTTCACATTCACTCCAGGATAAGCATACAAAACAAAAATTTTGAAGCTAAGACCTACATCTGAGAGAAATCATGTGGCACTTGTCCTTAGGGAGTGGGGTGACCTTGCTCAGTATAATTCTTTTGCAGTTCAATTCATTGACTTTCAAATAGTCTTTCTGAGAAATTATTGAAATAACGTTGTGGTATCTCTGTAGGGGTTACAGATTGTTCACTAACAATCTTTATTTTTAGCGAATTTAAAAAGACCCAACCCATTGCAGGTGGTGCCACTCCCTGGGCAAGGCATCTGGAATGTGTAAAAGAAAGTCAAGTATAGCAAGCAAGCAAGCCACAAGGATCCCTGTGCTTATTCTCTGTGTGCTCTTGACTGTAGGTGAGATGCTTTGAATTTCCTGCCTTTAAGGGATGGAAACCTGGAGCTGTACACCAAATAAAACTTTCACCCCTGAGTTACTATCACTTTTGGTGTTTTATCAGAGCAGCAGAAGTGAAACGACTAAGAGGCCATTTACATCATTCTTGGTTTCTTCATATGATCCAGAAAAACAAACAAACAAACAAACAAACAAACAAACAAACAAAAACTTCTGAGAGGGACATGAGAGGGCTTTGAGTCTCTTGTTGAGCCGGTTGTGGTGGAATTCCCAGATGACATTCTTCCTTGTTGCTTCTGTGTCCTTTTCCCCAACCATTAACCTATAGACTCTCTTTCCACCTACTGTGTAGCCTGGTATCCTGTCATTCTTCTTCCAAGTATCCTTTTTCTCCCCACCTGGGATTCTAAGGTGCTCTCTCCATTCCTTCCACCTACTGGTTTGGCACTCCCTTTCCTACAGCTGCTCAACCCACCTTGCTTTCTGCCTCTGTCCCCTTCCTTTGCCATAGTTTATTCTCTGCCAACAACATCAACCTACACGGCCTTTTCCTGGATTACAAAACTGTGTGGGAGACCTTTGTGCTCTTTGTCCTCCTTTCCCGTTCATCCACTAGTCGTCCATTAGAGTATCTGCTCAGCCCAGGTAGGTACCTCACTCCTGTAGAGTTCCCATTACAACATGCATTGTCATTGCCGTATCTTCTCTGCACATTCCTTGGCCGGGGAATTTCCATAGGGTCCAGAGACCCTCATCATAACAGCATCTGACTGTCCCTTGAAATCTTTCTCACCCTTGTCCACACATTTAATTAATTCAAGAATTTCTCCTCAAGTTCACTGCCATATGAAGAGCATAACAAAGTCCAGTCTTTATGACTAGGAGGAGTGTTGATTAGATAAATTGCCATTGCATATCTAGAAAGAATTGCTTTGCTGTGTGGGCTTGTTTAAGACTGTCTTTGCCACTTGGAAGCACTCTGAGCACTCTTACCAAGGTCTCATTTCAGCACAGCAGTTCATTCCTCTAATCATTGTTTTGAAGTCAGCAGGACCCAAGTCTCAAAATAGATTCTCACTGGCATTGTGACACCATTCTGTGACTCAGTTACTTCCAGAGTGAATCTTTTATTTGCCTGTATATCAGTTGTTATAGATGAGATGGAAAGTGAAGATATCACCAAAACAGAAAGGATGGTTTCCTATCTCAGGCTGTACAAGTACAAGTTAGCATGTATAAGAATGTCCTCGTTAGATTCATATATTTAAATGCTTGATCCTCAGTTGCTAAATCTGTTTGGAAAGGGTTAGGAAGTGTGGCCTTGTTGGAGGACATGTGCCACTGAGGCTGGGCTTTGAGGCTTCAAAGGCCCTTGCCATACCATCCTCAGTTGCTTCATGATTGTGCCTCAAGCTTTAATCTTTCGGCACCTGGTCAAAGGGATACCTGCGTTTCTGCTGCCATGCACACACCATGGTGGCCATGGCCCCTACCTACTCTTTGAAACTGTAGGCCTCAGGTAAGCTCTTCGAGGAGCTGCCTTGGTAGTGGTGTCTTCACACCAACAGAAAGTAACTGAGACAACACAAAAGTATTCTTCCAAACAACTATTATTGTTGACATTTAGAAGCTACATTTCAGAGTTTTCAAACTACTTGAGGAATATAGACATCCCATATGAAATCAGGGAACTCATTGTACATTAGTAAAATCATAACTGTCTCATCCTTGTTACCAGAACTGGCATGAAAACTGTTTAAGAAGTAGATGTACTATCATTTAGATGAACTGAATTTACTTTTTCTTTCTTTCTTTCTTTCTTTCTTTCTTTCTTTCTTTCTTTCTTTCTTTCTTTCTTTCTTTCTTTCCTTCCTTCTTTCTTCCTTCCTTCCTTCCTTTCTTTCCTTCCTTCTTTCTTTCTTTCCTTCTTTCTTTCTTTCTTTTTCTCTCTCTCTTTCTTTCTTCCTTTCTTTCTCTTAAGTTTTCCATTTCTTTCTCTCTTGTGCATTTTGTCACTCATACTTCCTTTCTTCCTTTCCTTCTTTCTTCTTGTCCATCTGTCTCTCTGTCTGCCTGACTGTCTACATGTCCTAAGGATGTCTGGGTGGCTGTCTCTGTGTTTTGGCAGGTTCTTCATATGTAACTGGGGATGGCCTGGAACTCAGTTTGTACTCTAGACTAGCCTCCAGATCCTCCTCCCTCAGCCTCCCAAGTACTAGGATTATATGTATGTGCTAACATGCCCATCAAGTTACATCCCTTGCAAATACCATTTTGTGACTTGTGTTTTTCAGTATTTAAGATGCTGCAGTTGTAAAAACCATCCTTGAACATTGCCGTGATAGTGATGCCTCGACCCAACTCAGTTACAGATTCTATAAGCCAGCCAGAAATCAGAGGCTGGTCATCTTGCTTTCTTCACAATGATACTAAAAAATTTTCTTGGGAACAGGGACTGTCTCTGACATGAACTCAGTGGCTGGCTCTTTAATCACTTCCTCCTGAGGGGGGAGCAGCCTTACCAGGCCACAGAGGAACAAGGCAGCCAATCCTGAAGAGACCTGATAGGCTAGGGTCAGATGGAAGGAAAGGAGGACTTCCCCTATCAGTGTACTTGAACAGGGGCATGGAAGGAGATGAAGGAGGTTGCTACAGCTGGGATACAAAATGAATAAACTGAAATTAATATAAAAATTAAAAAAATTATTTTGGATGTGAGGTTTCCTGTAAGTTCTCAGAAGCAGGGTATCATGTGGCTCAGATTAAATTGGATCAGTTGCTAAAGATGATCATGACCTTGATATTCTGGTCCTCCAAAGTCCATGGGGTTTACAGGAGTGCTCCTCAGCACCTGGTAGCTGGGATTGGTTTGGCTTTAACCTGGTACTTCCTGTGTCCGGGGTGACTTTTCTACCAATGTCACTATGTCCATGGCCCCTTACTGTACTATATCCCCTCCTGATAGGACACTGTCATCTTCATTACACAAGGGTGTAAATCAAGTACGCTGTCATTTATGATGATTCCCATCCCCCTTCAACTTGCTACATCGTTCAGAATATTGTCCAGCAAAAAACAAAACCCACATCAAACAACCAAGAAAGTAAATCTCCCTATGGGAAACCAGAGTGTGTACCAGGTGTTTTGGTCCACTGTGATAGCACACCTGGTTTTTTGGTGTTGACAAGCAAAACGTATTGTAAAAGTGATACATCTGCATTTTCATACCATCAGCACAATTAATGTGGCTTGTGATGAGTGAGCTAAAAGGCCATTAGAAGAACAAGCAATGCCACTTAGTGAAAAATCTGTCCCCATGGTTAGTCATACTGAGTAGCCAACCCAACCTATGAAGGGACTTGAGTAATGTACATACTTTCTCAGTGGTCAAGGAATCAGAAGGCATCTGTCTTGTGGCTGTAAGGGCTATGATGTGTTTTCCCTTTACTGGAGGAAAATGCCTTGATCTGTTTGCTAGGCAAATTCTCTATAAATGAAGTTCATGCTTTGCCAAGAATATGTATATGTGTATACATATACTTATCTGTGTGCTACACACACACACACACACACACACACACACACACACAC